GATTTCGTTGTTCTCTTGGGTGACATCTGTGAAAAAAATTCAGGTGCTCAGGCATGAAAATGTGTCACTCAAACACTATATTTTTCCACAAACACTGAAAAAAAATTAGAGGGAACATTGTTCACAACTGTATTATTGCTTTCATTTTAGTCCATGATCATAAATAAAATAAGTGAAAGGACTTTGGATTCTATAAATATCACCTAGTAAATTCAGTAGGAATATATATTGCTTGCCTCTCACTTTATTATTGTTACCTATAAAAGATAAGTATGTTGTTGAATGCCATTAATTTTATTCCTCACCACCACCATTATGTAGGTGGACTATACCAATTCATCTTCTGACCATTCAATTTAATAAATGTAATCAGGGATGCAGTGCAAGCAAAAACAGAGATCATCTCACTTTCTTGAACAAATTATAATGAGGATATAGTGCTCCGGTATTGCAGACATTTATAAGGTGTTATAAAACATACGTGAGCCATGCTAAAGATTGCTTAGAAGAATATAATTACGTAATTCTGAAGATTTCCGTTTTGCCTTATTTGTTGGCTTCAGTGATATTGTGTAGATGATTCACATTTTTGGCAGAGTGACCTTACCATTGAGGTCTCCTAGTTAATGGTTTTCTCCTGTTGTGTAAAAACACCCTCCCAACCTTTAAACTGATTGGCAAGTCTCAAAAAAATCTCAACAAAGCCAGATCTGATTAATACTTGGATAGATTATTATCAGGATGTCCCAGAGCTGAGAATAAAAAAAAATAAGCCAAAAGATAATGACAACCAACCTCCATTTGTATTGTTCTGGGGAAAAAAACTACCTTGATTTCCCTTACACAAAGATCGAGCAATATGAGCTTTAAGGAGGACTTAAAGAAGATTGTTTTTTAACCTTAGTTGTCAGGTAATCATTAGTAGGTTGCAAGATTAGGATGTTAGTATTTTCAAGGAAAATTTGAATCTGTTTGTCTGCATGCTTCTTTCTCTTCTTCTCCCCTAATCCCATTAGAAAGATGAGGTTGTCTCCAATGCTAATCTGACACATTCCATTTTATTTCAGATACCTGTAGTGACTTAAACTCTGAATTGCAGAGAGTGCTGACAGGACTGGAGAATGTTGTCTGTGGGAGAAAGAAGAGCAGCTGTAGCTTGTCTGTGGCAGATGTTGACAGGCATATTGAACAGCTCACTACTGCCAGTGAACACTGTGACTTGGCCATCAAGGTGTGGTAATATTAATGTTAATTGTAACTGTTTATAGGATATAATGTAATTGGTCCACATGTATCATCATTTATTTGATAAAGAAGTATTTGATTGCTTGTTTGTTTGTTTGTTTGTTTAACAAATTTCTGCTGTCCATTTCACACAACTGAGAGTGGTTCCTGAGACCGGAAGTGAATCAGCATAATGCAGTGCCTCACCTCAACCTGGAGCCATTTCAGATGGATACCATGGTCAGCGTTATAAGATCTAGGGATCTAGGGATCATCAAAAAGAGCAACCAGTGCTTCTTTCCATCACATATCCCGGCCTGATATGCAACCTACATATCGTTTTATAGATTTTTCAAAACTTGTACACCTTGTAAACCATTTTAAGAGATAATAAGGAAGTTAGACTTCCTGTTTGAATTATTATTATAATTAATAAAATCCACAATCTGAGAAGCTCGGGGAAGGGGCCTGAATTTTCATTTAAATGTGATCTGTGTAGGTCATCTTTAAATCTTTGCTGTTATATAAAATAACAAGTTAGAAATGAGAAGTTGTGGATAATAATAGAAATTAGAATTCTAATGATACATTTATAAGATATTTAAGAGGGAAGTAACATGTTGGTCAAAATATTTGAAAAATATTTAGAGAAATTTTCAAAATAAGCCCACCATTATACAATAATACAGAAACATGTCTTCCTACAAACAGTTAATTAGTTATTAGTTAATCAATGTTCCTGCCACTTTTGCACACATATTCAGAATTGAATGATCATAGCTCAGCCATAGCATAGTGTACACTTTCAATAAGAAATAATATTATTGCAACCACGTACATTTTAACTGGAATAAGGGGTATTAAAATTGCACAAATTTTGGCTGAATTTATACATCTTGATTCATACTGATTTTTAAATGCTAATCACATAATATGTGAGTGATTCTAAAAATTTGTCTTATGTAGAAAGTATGCCAACATTTAATATTTCTCATTAACTTTTGTCCCTTTTGTATGGTAATTCTTCATTATGTTTTATTGGTTCACAACCAATGTTCCTTCTAAGCTGTGTGGGTGCGCGGCCGCGCAGGTGGCAACAAAACACAGCACAGCAGTGATCTTTAGCATGATGGACTTTAGTCTGCAGATAGCTAGGAGGCTTCCGTCAGCTGGTCCGGGATATTATAGTGCCTGGACACACCCAGAGAAGAGTGGGCCTTTGGACAACAGAAACGAGGCCACCTAGAGTAACGATTGGGCTCCCTCCGCCGGCGCATGGCTGATTGACAGGGAGGTCAATCCCTCATGGATCAAAGTTACTGAGGGGGGTAGTGGGGGTAGCAGCGGCAGCCAACTCTCCGCGGGATGTGCAGAGCATGCTTTCATTGTGGTTTGTCAGCTAAGCCCCCATGGCTGGAATTTATACATCTTGATTCATACTGATTTTTAAATGCTAATCACATGCATGCTTGAGTTTTATTGGTGACTAAACTTGTTGATTACTGTGTATCACTTTTGTACATGCAGGTAGGTTTACAGGTAATCCTCCACTTATGACCACAATTGGGACCAGAACTTCCATCGATAAGCAATGTAGTCATTAAGTGAGTGGAAGGATTTCATTTTGGTCACATATTCACCTTTTCTCAAAGAAAAGTACTATATCCTTCTTCTGCCACTTCATATGAATGGGGCTTATGAATAGCCATGGCATAACCTAAGCAGGATCTTAGTCATATAAATCACTTTTGCTATGACTATAGCAAATGCAATACATGTAGTCCTTAACTTACAAGAGTTTACTTAAATCAAAGCTACAACGGCACTGAAAAAAAGTGACTTATGACCATTTTTCACAGTAACGATAATCATGTGAGCAAAATTCAGATACTCAGCAGTTGATTCATATTTATGACTGTTGTTGTGTTCCCAAGGTCATGTGATTATCTTTTGCAACCTTCTGACAAGTAAAGTCAATGGGACAGTCAGATTCATTTAACAATTGGGTTACAAATCAACTGCAGTGATTCACTTAACAACTGAGGCAAGAAAGGTCATAAAATAGAGCAAAATTGTCTTAACAAATATCTCATTTAACAAAAATGTTGGGCTCAATTGTTGTCATAAGTCGAGGACTACCTCTATTGCCCATATCTTTGGCCAGTTTTAGAATTCTCTATCTTGGAAAACTGGGCAACAGATTTTGCTCAGTGATTTCTATGCCCCATCTTTCTTTTCTTATTAATTCTTGAGCCTGCAAAAAAGTAAAGCAGCATAACATTTTCTGCCACAATTGCTAATCCTTAGAATCCCTGTTTTGTCTTGTTGCCAACTGAGATGTCCTCACCTGGCAAAATGTAGGGATGGACTAGGATTTGATATCTGGCAAGATACATCATGATAAAAGTGATTTGGACAACACACCTGCTGCCAACTTTTTGTTCCAAAGTGTGTAAATATACATGCGAAGAACATTGAAATTTTTCTAGAGAACTTTTCAGTTCTACACGAATTCTTTCCTTTATTCTTACACATTGAGAAGAAAGATAAAAAGGCAAGAAGTGAGTGGTTTTTGCTAAACCCATAACTGATATTTTAGGTTAATCTGACTAGGAATAATAGCTGTGCCTTTATTGTTTCATAGTCAACTGTAGCTTTGAAATCAGACTAAAGAAGAAAGCCACACATTATATATGACAACTAAGTATAAAGGGAGAGGACAGATTGCAAGTTCTGTCTGTCTTTACAGAGGACCAAGGAATATGCTCCCTGCAACTCATACTGATGGTTTTCTCGCTTCAGTTATTTGGGGATGGGAGAAAAGAGATTTACATGGCACTGCTTATTGCTTCATTACTCGACTGCTTCAGGCATGATTATCTGCTCAGAGACAGCCGATTTAGTGTTCTTCAGAACTTCTAAGTTTTTGCAGTAACAACTCTTGTCAAAAGAAACCAGCTGTCAATTGATTGGTGACAAAATACTAAAGTGCAAGAGCTATTTCTTTTAAAACTTGGCTTTTGCAAAAAAACAGGTCTCCAACATTTTCCATGCTGCTGTCCCAGAGATTGATAAACTGTCTGGCTACATGCATGTGGCTTCCTAAGAGAGCTGAGATGAGCAGCTCTATCTTGGTTTTATTCCTGGAAAGAGATGAAAAAGAACAGCAATTAAAGGAGAGTGCCCTGAATTCCAGATTGAAGTTGCAATTGGCTATTCCCAATTCCTTTGGGTCAGCTTATTGCATAGCAGATAAAGTAGTCAGTAAGACACATCAAATTTATTCAAATTGAAACTGTCATAAGTTACTGCTATTTGAACGGTTTTACAGAACACCTTTTAGACTGTGTCTATTCCAGATAAGGAACCTGTAGTGTTTGCATTAATAAGTGGTAGTTCATTCAGTTAACAGTAACTTTTTTTCTTAATTAGCTAATGAAAGCAGCAGTAAGTCCACTTAATATATCGACTGATTAAGTGGAATGCACTTTGCTACCCATTTTAGAACTTAATTAGAATGTTTCATGTACTTTATTGCCTACTGAGCAAATATGCACTACAAATGTCAATGGTTTAGTATTGCTTACATTAGCATAACAAGATGTGAATGAAATAGGCCCTTTTTATCTTTAAAAAGTACAATTTCCTCTTGACTGAGTCTTAAACATAAGCTGTATGTATTTGGTTTGGAGGCAAAGCGCAGCCCAAGAAAGTTACAAAAATGAAATAGAAAGGAGTTGAGAACAACACAATTACAAAGTTTAAGCAAATTTGAGTTACGTTTTCTTTTCAAGTGAATCACTGTTATTTCAAAGAAGTGAATACATGACAATATGAAATGCATAGTACTTACAATAACAGCATATGAATTGCAGCTGCTGTTATGAATCTAATACTGTAAAAAAGTTGTAACAAGTATTTTCTTGCAAACATAGTTGTAAGTAATCTATGTCAACAAATCTCATAGAAATACTCATAATTTTTTTAGCTCTAAAGAAATACCTAGATTTTCACGGTATCCTTTATCTTACTTTAAAGTTGTTTTTAGTTTTTCAACAGAAGCTGTCATTTTACTGTTCAGATTAGTTTAGTTAAATGATATATCTTAAGGAAATGCTTCAACTTATTCTTCCAAGAAAACTTTTGGGGGGAGAAGAGAGATAATTTTGGTCTCTATTTTGGGAACAAATAACACTATTTTTGCACAAAGTTTATTGCTAGCCTCCCTGATCTGTCTGGCTCTGTCTTTGCTGGTCTTTTGAAAGCTTTTGAAGGCTAAACTGTTTTGAATACCCTAAACCAGAGGTATCAAACTCAAGGCCTTGGGGCCATATTCGGCCTACGGGGTGTGCTCAACCAGAACGGCGCAGAACGGCGCCCATCTTGTTGCTGAGTGAAGGAGTGATTGTAGGTATGCATGGTTGAGAGAATGTTCCCACGTGTTTTTAAACTTAAATTTTTAAATTTTCAAATTTTCTATTCTGTATGATTGTATATTTTAATATTTTATTATTAGTGGGGTATGTGTGCGGAGAATGTCTGGTCGGTATGTATGAGGGGATTGAGAGTGTGGCCCGGAGCCCCCTCCACTGAGTGCAGAAGCAGAAGTGGATGGGGGTCCGGTCCCACCTCTCGTCCCAGAGTGTATGATACGAATGGCCTGCTGGGGAGAACGGGGGCCGTGGGAGGGGAGGGGGGTTTATGGTGGCGGGGACG